CCACCTGGCACAACAGCGAGGTCGCCAGACTACAACTGCCTCGAGCCTTCTTTGCAAGATCAGCTTACCAGTCTCTGGGTTTAGGGTTTAGGGTTTAGGGTTTAGGGTTTAGGGTTTAGGGTTCACCAGTTTGGGTTTTCGGGTTTAGGGTACAGGGTATGGTGTTTGGGGTATATAGTGAACCCAAGAATGTTGGAAGGGCGAAGTAGAATGATTAGTGCGGAGACTTCTGTACTTTACCTTGAGGGTATGAGGATAACGATTTTCTAACTTTGCGACTTCTACGCTAGGGTATCATAGGGTATAAGGCCATGAAGTGTTGCCGGTGGCCACAGTTTGTGATCAGCATAGCTCAGGCCTTCAACTACGCCCCTTGACTGCATTTCGGCCCGTGCTTTCGATGACTTGCAACTTGTGCCTCAGTGCTCGTCGAGCCGTCGGCTTCGACGAAGGTCATCACCGTCAAGGGCCTACTGCCTATGCCTAGAAACTCTGAACCTTACCTGTCAGACCTCAATGCAAAGCCGTTACACCCAGCCCCACTCCTTTGAAACCCTAGGCCTAAACCCTAAGCCCTAAACCCCAAACCCTAAACCCTAAACAATCCCAAGCCCTAAAGCCCTGGACCTTCATTTTGAAACCGGTCCCCAAGCAGAAGCGGCCGGCCCACTAAGACTCCTGGCACTCGGAAGCGGCATATCAAATCCCAAAGCCGCGGCTTTCCTTTCCACGCGAGAACGTGTAAAACCATGGGTCGGAGAGGTAAGTACTAGGACGAGTGTACCAACAGCCTAGTCTAATTATACCTCAAACCCTAAACCCTAAACCAGAATGTACACCGGCAACCTAGTCTAATTATGCCTTAAACCCTAAACCCAGAGGCCGAGTTTTGATAATTGAGACCCCTACACCCCAAACCCCAAACCCTAAACCCTAAACCCTAAACCCAGAGCCCTACGTCATTCCTGTCATGGCCTCGTATTTCTCAGGACTGGCGAAGGCACCTCTGATGGCATCTCGGGGCTTGGGGGGGTTCGGAGTTTAGGGGTTTAGGGTGTTAAGGTTTAGAATTTGGGGTTGGGATTTAGGGGTTTTGGGCTTTTGGATTTGGGGTTGGGGGCTTAGGGGTTTAGGGCTTGGGGTTCTAGTTTCCAGCCCAGAGTCTTCATTTGATATCGTAGACCAACCATAATAAGGATCACGGGTGACAAATTTGAGGTAGATTCCTCAGTTGCACAGCCTTTGGGAGGCATTGGCAGAGTTTGTGTATTCGGGATCTTCGACTTGCAAGGGTTCACCGTTTGGGGCACAGCGCGCACTTGTTGAGCGCTTAGGGTTCAGGTGTAACTATAAGACCCGAAACCCTAAACCTTAAAAAACCGCATACCGTAAGCCCTAAACCCTAAACCCTAAAAGTTTACGGTGCATGGTTTAAAGTTTAAGATTCAGGACATTGTTAGGTCTTTCCCTGAATCAGTCTGGGCTCCCGTGTTCCGGGTCAAAGTGCTGAACTGTTGACGTGTCAGGGGTCCGGAAGTGCGTTTAGGGTTCTAGGGTTTGCGGTTTTGCGGGTTCAGGGTTTAGTGTCAGTTCCGAAACCCTGGACCCTAAACTCCCCAATCCTAAACCCTGAACTCCTAAATCCTTAACCCGAAAACCTAAACTCCTCAAGCAAAGGATCTGGATGTTTTGAGCAGTTTACCTCAGTAGCGAAAGCTGTGCTTGTATGCTTGTATATGTCGACGGCGCTGTCCAAGTCATTGAGTCAGAACATGCTTACACGATTGTGCTTTTGCAGCTTGCCTTGTTTCGACCTAAACCCTAAACCCTAAACCCTAAACCCTAAACCCTAAACCCTAAACCCTAAACCGGCTTTGAGCACACAGCCGATGTACGCCAGCGATGTTTTCTTAATGGAGACATTCGGCCGGATGGCGCAATGCAAATGATAAACTCCGCTCACAACCGCCCAAAAACTCTGGACCTGAACCCTATACAATTCCTATGAATTCTAAATCCTAAACCCTAAACGTGTGTAAGGGTTATATGCAGACACAAGTGTAGCTCAGTGCCTCGATCCTCTACCTAGACCCCAAATTCCCTAGCAAGCCTTACGAAACGCTGCGCAAGACGGTTGTAAGTGGAGCCTGAAGCTTGCTACCTGCTCTGATGTTCAGATGGGGTGACCTGAACTACGTCGACGAGCTGCGGAGGAGGTTCAAGAAGACGATCGAGCAGGCGGTGAAAATCGCCGGAGGACGGCGGACCCGGGTTCAGAGTTTCTCTAAACCGCGCTAAACCCCACACCCTAAACCCTAAACCGTAAACCCTAAACCCTAAACCCTAAACCCGAAACCCTAAACCCTAAAACCCCTAAAAGGCGCTGAGAGGTGAGGAACAACTTACAAGCGACCTTTAGCTTCCATTCCGTTCCATTTCGTCGAGCCTTACGCCTGAAAGGAGTCAGAGCAGACGAGAGTCATTAGGGTTTAGGGTTTAGGGTTTAGGGGTTTAGGGTTACTTCTATGGTTCTTACGGTCATTATGACTATCATGATGATGATTGCTCCTATGAGGATGGTGCTTATCACGATTTTCAGAGAGTTCCCCCTGTAACCACAAAGCAACTGCAGTGGCAGTGTTGGTTTCGAACATGACCATATGCCACATTGCTCGTCATACTTTTGCCAGTGCCAAGTATGAACACGAGTAGTCATAGTAGTCATGACTTTAGGCAATAATGGGCCAGAAGCACTCCCCGAAACCTTAAACCCCAAGCTCTAAACCTGCAAATCTCTCAGCCTGAAACCCTAAACCCTAAACCATCAAATCCCTAAGCCCTAAACCCTAAAACCCTAAGCCATAAAAACCCTGAACCCTAAACCTTAAACCCTGCCCGAGACCCTGGCCCAGTCCCTCATCGCAGGAAGGCCTGTGGTCATGGTGGGGCATTCCTTAGGAGCACAGGCCGGTGAACCTACCCTTAATTAAGGAATATACTTTAAGTTATAATAGGATCCTTAATATGATTTAAGGTATATTCTTTAATCAAGGGATATTGGAGTCTCTGGGTGTGTTTTGGGGGGGGGGTTTTAAGGCGTTTGGGGTTTAGGGTTTAGGGTAGGCGTTTGGGGTCTTGCAGCTGCAGAGGGTGGTTGTCGGGTTTTAGTTTTTTTTTCATAGCTCTCTCACTTTAGGGTTTAGGGCCTGGGGCTCGCGTTTCGGGGGTCTCTTCTGGTCCAGGCTGCTGGGCAGTGGGGTTTCGGTTCCAGGGGGCAGGGCCCTGGAAAGGGTTTAGGGTTTCGGGGGTTTAGGGGGCTGAGGCTGCTTTGGGCCTTGGGGGGCTGCACATGGAGTGGGGTTGTAGTGCCGGAATGATTGCAAGTGCTCTTGCCTTTGCTTTCGCTGTTGGTAGTATCCATAATTGGTGGACACAGCCGCGAACGCTAAGAGTCTTTGATAGTGCTAGTTGAGATTCGTGTTGTGGTAAGTTTTAATCTCGCCCTTTTAAAAATGACGGTCACTGGTTGTAACTGTCTCATGGTTACGTGTGCTGGTCAGCTGCAGCATGAATAGGGCCTGCAACGCGTAAGTCATCGTTGCCAGGCAATAGGCCCTCGTTGGAACAAAGGAGTTTGGAAAGGACAGCTCGCATTAGTTGAATTGGTGCTTGCGCTGCTGGCCACTGCCACTTTTCGTGGAATTTGTCTTCGGCGTCTGTGCTCGCTGCTGCCGTTGCTTCTTCTTCTGGTCATGGCAATCATCGTCATCCATTTTCATTCAAGCCTAAACCCCAATTCCTGAACCTTGACCCTGAATCCTAAACCCTAAATCTGTCTACACCTTTAGTTTCATTTTCACAGCCTGTCACCCTTGCTCCAGGGTTTCTTGGCTGTCTCAACACTTCTTGGTCGCATGAGGCTGTAGGGGTTCAGAGTTTAGGATTTAGGGGTTAGGGGCTTTGGGTTTAAGGAATAGGGAGTAGGGTTTAGGCTTTAGGGCTCAGGGTTTAGGGTTGTGCCCTGATGTAGATGAGGATGCTCCGACTTGGCTCAGCATCTTGCCCGCTGTCACGACATGCGAGATAAGGAAGCCAGCTTGAGAGACATATCCGATCTCGTGGTTAAGGTTGTGGAGCACGTTTCGTCGAGAGGGCGTCAAAGACTGTCAGATCTTGAAACGAAGTCCAACACCCCACATACCCAGACTACACTCCACCTCTGAGGGGCTGGTGCTTGAATGCCTGACCAGGGCTGTGTTCCAGGCCATGCCGTCCACCAGAAGTCAAGACCTTAACGTCTCTTTTTGGCACATCTCTGTCAATATCTTTCACGCTTGTGTTGCCTGCGCAACTAGAGCAGCAACAACTACAGCAACAACAACAGCAACAACAGCAACAACTGCAACAACAGCAACAACATCAACAACAGCATCAACAGCAGCAGCAGCGACAACAAGAACAACAACAACAACTCCTGCTGCTACTACTNNTACTACTGCTACTACTGCTACTAGCAACATGTGCAACCCACTTTCACGGATGGGCGTGGCCGGCCTCCTACCGCTTCTGCTGCTGGGAGCAGTTGCTGTGGATCACTCCAAGTTCCGTACCAGGACCAAACACACCCCAAGAGGGTTGAGGGTGTGTCTTTTAGGGATCCTTGAACAATGTCCATAAGGGATCTTGAATGATTTTATGAGGGTCTAGGGGTTTAGAAGCACATGAAGCCTCAGGGGTCAGACGGTTTGGGTCTGAGCTTTCAGTACCTTTCGGGCTTCGCAGGTTGAGAAGGGGCCCAGGATTCCCCCCCCCCCCCCCCGCTTGATGGTTCTTGGTTACTTATGTGAAGGGGTATATAGCCCTTCTAACACCATGAGGGGCCTTGAGAACCCCTCCCCCCCCGCCACAAAGCCTTCTCAAAGTCACCATAGCCCCGAAACCCAAAATGCCTAAACCCTCCTTAACCTAAGCCCCAGGCCAAAAGCCTTCATGGTGCCAAGGTACCTGTTCCCAGGGCTCTTTCTGCCAGCGCTACCGGGCCTACATAAAGGAGGTCCAAGGCACAGGTGCTCAGCTCCACTTCGTGGAGCCCGGCTCCCTGTCTCCTGGGCTATGATTTTTGAAGGCTTTGCACTGGTTTTGAACTGAGTTTAAGTGGCAGAGGGGATATGTATATAAGGATATGTAGATGCAGCTAGATAGAGGTAGCATAGTTTCTGGTAGCTTGATCTTAAACCCTAAACCCTAAAACCCTAAACCTTTTTTCAAGATGGTCGCCAGGTCCCAGAGGAGCGGGCACGAGGTGCAGTTCCGGATTTCCCAGCGCCAGGGCGCAGGGATTCTGGAGCCCCTGGAACTCTCCCTGGGCTTCTTCCGGGCGGCTTCCGGGGCTTCCGGGGGAGCCTGTGGGGTGCTCCGCATCTCCATTTTGGCCCCGGGGGAGCAGCGATTTCGGCCTCGGGAGGGCGATGTGGCGATGGTGCCGGAGAGCGGCTTGGAGCCGGACGTCGTTACGGTGCAGTCGGAAGAGGCCATGACCGTGATGATCGCCGGGGACTGCTCCGCGAGGCTCCGATACGATCCCCTGGAGCTGGACTTGCTGCGCTCGGGTCGGATCTTGCAGACCCTGAACGCCCGACACTAGGTGGCACTTTGGGAAGCTTTTGTCATTTCCCGTTATGGCTCCTTTAGACGTACCTATTCATTAAAACTTCTTAAGGGCTCCCAAACTGCAACCCAGGACATTTTCTAAACTTCGAGCAGCGGCGCAGCCGGGAGACCGGTGCGACCGGTGCCCGACCCTTCCTCGATGCCACGGACATCGCTGCTGGGTCGCTGTGGGAGGAGACCTTCGATGCCTCCTTGGCCGCAGTTTGCTGAGGACTATTATTGCTACTGTTGTCATTATTATCTTCTTCTTTTCGGTATCATTGCTATGATTGATATTCGTATTGTTATTATTATTATTATTAGGCTAATTATTGTTATTATTCCTATGGTTCTTCTTCTTCTTTTTATTACTACTGTGATTAATTACAGTTAATGTTATTATTTCAGTACTAGTATTAGAATTAGTATTCGTATTCGTACTAGTATTCGTCTTAGTATTAGTATTCGTAGTAGTACTGGTATATATGAGTATTAGTATTCGTATTCGTAGTAGTGTTGGTAGTACTGTAGTATCAGTAGTGGTATTAGTGTGAGTGTTAGTGTTAGTATGAGATTGAGTATTAATGTTTGTGTTTGCATTATTGTTCGCCTGCTTCTTATTATTACTGCTATCACTCTGAGTAGCCGAAACAGCCAACCGCGTCTTCATTGCCCCGAATTGCGGCTTGTGTTACAATGTAGCACTTCGTCAGCAGATCGTGGTGCAGTGAAAGATCAAGATCAGGGTCAGAGGGAAGAAACTCTAACAGCGGTGGTCAGTCAACCGCTATAAGCTTCAAACCCCGAAGCCCAAACCCGCAAAAACGGTTCCGTCTGTGGTATTGGGTTTGACGAGGGCCATGTGGACTCCAAGCCGCACGGCCCCACGGCTGTTGGCATTGACATCAGCTTTCACCAGGACTGGTCTTTAAGACTTGGGAGTTTCGGGTTTTAAGATTTGGGATTCTGGCTCTGGGATGTGCAGAGTGCGGGTTCTACATTCCCCCTAGAGCCTTACTGTAGAACCAGGAGGCCAAAGCCTAGACCCTAGACCCCTGCTCAACCATAAAGGTCCGTAAACCCCAAACCCGACCCGGACCCGAACTCCCTGCACCTTGAAGCCCTTTGCATTAAATCTGAACGAACTGACCCTACCCCTACGAGAGTTGAGACAGGTGGGAGAACAGCCAAAACCCTGAAACCCTGAACCCTAAGCCCTCGTGCCTCTAAGCCCTCCCTTCAAAAAAAACCTAAAGCCCCTCAACCCTAAGCCCTCAACCCTAAACCCTCAGCCCTTAACCCTAAAACCTCAACCCTAAAACCTCAACCCTAAAACCTCAACCCTGAACCCTAAACTCTAAACCATGAACCCTAAACCCTCAACCCTGAACGCTCAACCCTAAACACGCAACCCTGAACCCACAACCCTAAACCCACAACCCTAAACCCTCAACCCTAAGTCAGGCCTCGCATGCCGTGGGTCTGGCAGAGCACGCGACGCAGCTCCACCTCGCCGAGCCCCGCTTCGAGGAGCCCCTGGAGAGTCGGGTTTCGGGTTTAGGGCTTAGGGTTTCCGGTTTTGGGGCTTGGGGTTTCGGGTTTTGGGGTTTCGGGTTTTGGGGTTTCGGGTTTCGGGTTTTGGAGTTTCGGATTTCGAGTTTCGGGTTTTGAGTTTCGGGTTTTGAGTTTCGGGTTTGGGGTTTTGGGGCTTCGGGTTTCGGGGGTTTAGGGTTTAGGGTATTACCAATATTATTCGGGGTTCCTTATTTTTCTTCTCGTGCAATGTAGTCCCAAACCCTAGGTTTAGTTTTTCTGGTTTGGGTAGGGCTTGGGGCTCAGGGTTTGGGGGTTTGGGGTTTTGGCTTTGTTCAGTCAGCTCTTTTGGCTTTCAGATTAGGTTTTCCCTTTTTTTGTCTTTTCTTTTGTTGCTCTGATTTTCGGATTGTTGTGAAGAGGTTCCGTTCTTTTCTTCAACTCCTGGAGGTTTCAGATTCGGTTGTTCTGATCTTCGGAAGACCATCAGATCCGGCCGTTCGAGACGTCTGTAGTACATCGGTTCCGCGGGTCTTTGTGGACTTTCTGGCTGTTTTTGGGGCGTAGATGCTTTGTTCCCCATCACTTTCTTACAGATTTTGCGGCACCCTAAACCCTCAACCCCAAACCCTAAAACCCTAAACCCTAAAACCCTAAACCCTCAACCCTCAACCCTAAAACCCTAAACCCTAACCCCAAAGCACTGAGCCGGCCCCGAAAAAGCTGGGTTTAGCCCCTAAGCCCGAAACCCTAAACCCCAAGCTCTAAACCCTCTAAACTCCAAAGCATTCAACCGTGGAAACACCACGGTTTAGGGATTCGGGGCTTTTTGGGTCTGGGGGTTCTTCGGACTGTCGGTTTTTTTTTCGGGCGGTTTCGGGCTCAGGAGCCTTATCGCTTGTTCAACTTGGACGTCTTCGAGTACGAGGCAGGGCTGGGCATTGCGGGGGGTTGGAGGCCGGGCTCTCCTTAGGATCTCGACACGGTCCCCACATCACTGGTCACTCCCTCATAGAGTCCTCACTCTAATATATATATATATAAAATACATATAAATATATGTATATATATATATATATATATATATTTATATATCTATACCACCGATATCAGCGAGATGGCTCCGGGGACTTCCAAGAGCTCCCTCACAACCTTCAGGGCCATTCCCGGGACGGAGACGTACGTGTGATCCTGCACCCGAGCATTGCAGCCCTCAGGTGGATGGAGACCCTAGGGCCCTCGGGTTGGTGTTTTGAAGGATACCTTGTGGTAGAAAAAAAGGTGGGGCTATAAGCGGATATGGGTAGTTCTCTAAAGTAGAGTCCCCTTTAAAGGTCCTTTTTGGAAGGGTGCCGTACTATATTGGGGGCCGAGAAGGGGACCCTAATTTAGAGAACTACCAATATGGTTACCAAGTATAAACCCTAAACCCAGAGTGTAAGCCTTGCAGCGACTGATACAAAGTCCCACCACTTCATGGTGCATGGTTGGGGGGTTTTGAGTTTAGGGTTTCTGGAGGTGGATGTGCCCATGGCGCTCTACGGCAACATCCCCATGATCACGGCCATACACAGAGGGCTGGATGGAGGCCTTGTGAAACGGTTTGATGTCTACGGTTTGGGGTTTAGGGTTCAGGGGAACCGGATTGAAATTTTGAGCTCCCTTCTTGGTGTTTAGGCCTTTAGGCTTAAGGGTTTAATGTTGGATACAATGTTTGGCATTTCAAATTCCAGGGGGTGGGGTCCAGGCTTTTCGGCTTTTGGGCTTATAGTTTGAGGGAAAGACTTGGTCAGTTTTTTTGTTTGAGGCTTTTGGCTCATTGTTGGTCGTGGAGTTCCGGGGTATAGGTTTTGAGGGTTGGGCTTCAGGACTTAGTCAGGGATGGGGGTTTAGCGGTGTTCGTCTCAAAGAAGCTCCAAAGCCTGTATTCTGAGCAGATAGGACTTGCTTTAATTTCTGAGGCCGAATCTAGGAGTCAGGCAACGCGCACGAGGTATTGTGCCACATTGTTTTTTTTGCACGTCCTTCTGACTTATCATCCTCCGGACGGTAAGCCCGAAAGCCACCCTAAACCTAGACCCTAAACCCTAAGCCAGCATCTCCAGACTCAAAGCCTAAAGCCCTGAACCCTACCCCCCAAAAAAGCAAAAAGAGCAGTTTGGAAGCGCTAGGCCCTAAACCCCAAGCCGCAAAGCCTAATTTTCGAGCCGCAGCCGGCCCAGGCAGCGCCAGCGCATCGGGAATCTTGCTCGTAAACCCATCAGAGGGCTTTGTGAAGGTGGGGCTGTCGGGCAAAAAGCCCTAAACCCTAAACCCTAGACCCTCTAGACCCTAAACCAAACCCTAACGACCCTGTACACCCTATAGACCCTAAGCCCTGGACCCTCTACTCCCTATAGACCATAAACACCCAGATGTCCGAAAGCCGGAGCGTACAAGGGTGGATGCTGGAGGTCGCGAGTTCTTGGGTCTAGGTTTAGGGTTTAGGGTTTAGGGTTTAGGGTTTAGGGTTTAGGGTTTAGGGTCTAGGCAGCTCCTTCAGGGGCCTTGCCGGGTCCTGGTCTTGCTCGAGGGAGCCACGACCTACACCCTTAACCTTACACCTAAACTGCATAGGGTAAAACACCCATGGCTAGCATTATAAGCTTGTATAAAACCTACACGGCACCCAAAAAGCCCCAAAAGAAATCACGGAAATATTTTCACCAAGCCATATTCAAACTGTTCAAGCCCCCTTAAGGCCCTTCTATCACCCCTTTGCATCCATTCCTCCCAGAACCTGGTGAAACCCCCCATGCAGCCCCTATGCAACCCTTCTGAAACCCTTAAAACTGGCCCATCTGGCCGGCCCACGCCCTAAACCCTAAAACCCTGAACCCTGAACCTTGAGCCCGAAGCCCTAAACCCTAAACCCTGAAACCTGAACCCTAACCCCTGAACCCCTAAACCCTAAACCCTAAACCCAAAGCCCCAAGCCCGTGCACCAGGTCGACGCAGCCAACAACGGCAGCGACACCGAGACCTGGTGGACCTTCGAGGCCAGTCCTGGGCCTGGGACCTTTCGGATTCCTCGAAAGGAGTTTTAAGGGTTTAAAAGGGTCTATGGTTTTTTGTTTAGGGTTTGGGGCTTAGGGTTTTAGGGTTTAGGGTTTAAGGTTTAGGGTTTAGGGTTTAGGAGTTCTCCCCAGAGACTCCAATATCCCTTAGTTAGGGAGAATACCTTAAATCACATTAGGGATCCTAACTATAATTAAGGTATATTCCTTGATTAAAGGATATTGGAGTCTCTGGGCTGAAAGCAAGCCATCACAGGAACCCACAAAGGAAGCCTTAACAAAACCTGTAGGACCTAAAGCCTAAGCCCTAAACACTAAGCCCTAAACCCTCAATGGAAAAGGAAGCCTTAACAAAACCTAAACCCTAAACCCTAAACCCCCAATGGAGCCCTGAAAGGAAGCCTTAGGAAGCCCTTAAAGGGAAGCCCTTAAAAGTTCCTGCAAGGGTCCTTTTAAGGGTTCCGCAGGGGTGGAAGAGCCGAAATCGCCTCCGAACCCCGGGTCCGGTTCATGTGTTATGTTTAGGGTTTAGGGTTTAGGGTTTAGGGTTTAGGGTTTTGCTGGAGGCCGGGGACGGCATAGATGGAACACTGAGATCAAGTAGGAGTTCAGTGTCTAGGGCTCAGGCTTGGGCTTCGGGCTCTAGGTTTCAGGGTTTAGGATGTAAGATTTCTGTTGCGAGAAGTTTGTATCTTAAGGTTGTTCTTCTGAAGCCTGAAGGATGAGGACACAACGCGACAGCAACCGACCGAACAAGAAAGCCTCACTTTGTTGTTGGTTTAGGGTTTAGGGTGGGTGTAGGGTTTAGGGTTTAGGGTATGGGGTTTAGTGTTTATATATGGGAGCAGGGTACAAGCAAATCATAAAACATGCCATGCACAAGTACGATTCTAAGCAGCCAAGTGCCTCGAGAGATAGACTGCCATATGCCACAATGGTACGTTGACAGGAACACACCATTCGCCCGTAATCTAGATATAAAGTCCTGCTTGTATGAAGAACACCTTGCCTACTTCCCCCAATCTTCAATCCCAACTGATGATTCCCCCTGTGTATGTGTGGGGGATTAGTTGCATCTGTGGAAGAGGGAAAGAGAACATATATACATGTGTTTATGGATCATATACATATATATATATATATATACATATATATACATATATATATATATACACATAGATAGATATAGATATAGATATAGATATAGATATAGATATAGATATAGATATAGATAGATATATATGCACATACATTCCTATGTATATATATATATATATCTATATGTATGTATGTATGTATGTATGTATGTATGTATGTACGTATGTATGTATGTATGTATGTATGTATGTATGTATGTATGTATGTACAGGCATATAGGTATAGGCATACAGATGTGCCTAACACTCTGAAGTCCCAAACCCGAATTCCGAAATCCCAAGTCCTAAGCCTGAAATCCATAACCCAAAAACCCTTTTCTGATTAGTACCCGGAGACTCCGATATCCATTAATTAAGGAATATACCTTAAATCATATTAGGGATCCTACTATAATTTAAGGTATATTCCTTAATTAAGGGATATTGGAGTCTCTGAGTAAGGCCCTCTCTATCAGTTCTCCAGGCCGGCGTCCTGGACTTCTTCGCCTTTTTGGGCCCGGCGCCCGCGGATGTCTTGCGGCAGCGCCTCGGCGCCGGAGATGCTGCGTTTAGGGTTTGGGGTTTGGGGTCTGTGTGTGGGGATAGAGGGGTCAGGATGCCTTTTTGGGGGTGTAGAGATTCATGCCTATAGTGTTTAGTGCGTTTGCAGGGATCCAGGGTGCCAGGGCCTTCGATCCCTCCGCTTTGGAGGATCGGGGTCGTCAGCAACGCATAACCTTCCCTGGAACTGAGCTTTGAAGTCTAAGTTTTTTCGGAGAGCCTGGAGAGTGTGTGGGTTTGCGATATCTTTCGACAAAGGGTTTAGGCGAAGAGGCCTGGGTTCTGCGTTGGGTCAACGCTTCACGCGCAGCTCGCCCTAGTAAGGTAAGGCTAGTATCATCGTGGAGGTTGAGTGTAGCCCTAAACCCTGAACCCTAAATCCTGAACCCTAAACCCTGAACCGTTACCCTAGGCCCTAAATGCTGAAAGAGCCCTTCACCCTAAACCCCTTTGAGTTCAGGTTTAGTTGGGCGTGAAGACTTAGTAAAACTGACTCTTAGGGTTCAGGGTTTAAATGTTTAGGGTTTTAGGGGTTTTTGGGTTCCAGAAGATCCCCCCAAAACCTTAGTACAACTACTATAGCCAATCCGGCTTCTATATCAGGCAGGAGTGGGCCTGGGATTTTCCAGGCACGGGTGAAGGGTTGTGGTAGGATGCAGGGCAGCCAGAAAACCGCAATCCTGGGCCCTAAACCCCTAAGCGCCCTACACCCTAAACCCCTAAGCCCCAAGCCCTAAACCCTAAACCCTAAACCCTACACCCTAAACCCCTAAGCCCCAAAGCCCTAAACCTTGCTCCTTGGCATCTTCCCGCTTCGATCGCTGTGGCTCTCATCCATGCTCATCTTTCCTCTGAGCCCTCAGCCCCGGCGCCCTAAACCCTAAACCCCAAGCCCCAAGGTTCGGGTTTAGGGTTTAGGATTTAGGGTTTAGGGTTCAGGGTTCAGGGTTTAGGCTCCTAAACCCCTACACTCCAAACCCCAAGCCCGAAGCTCTGAACGATAACCCGAGGTACCACGCTGTCACGGGGTGGCCTCGGATGCCGCCTCTGGCCGTCCTGGGCAAACACCAGTCCAGGTGGAATTACATCACTGTAGAGGACAGAGACCCTAAAAAAAGAATCCCTAAACCCTAAACGCTAAACCTTGAGGACAGAGATAATCCGTCCGAGGGTGTCAAGCTTGAGACCATGGTTCAGGGTTTCGAGGGCTTAGGGTTTCGGGGTTCGAGTTCAAAGCTTTTGGGTTTCGGGCTCAGGGTTTTCAGATAGGCCTCTGTCACTGGAGGGTCTGGAGTCAGAGTGCACGGGTTCGGGGTTGGGGCTCCGCAGTTTCCCGCTATTTTGGCCTTCACCCGGGCGAGGATGTGCTGGAGGTGGCAGGGAAGTTCGATCAGCACCGGATACCCCTGGACTTCATCTGGCTGGATCTGGAGCACACGAATCAGAAGCGCTACTTCACCTGGGACCCGGACCACTTCCCCAGAGAAGGGGTGCGGCGGATGCTGGACGAGCTGAACAGGACCCAGCGCAAGCTGGTCACCATCATCGATCCGCATCTCTTCGCCGGTGATGCCGACTATGCCGTGGCGGCCCGTATGAAAGGGCAGGGCTTTTTGGTGAAACGGCCCGGCAACTCAAGCTCGCCTGCCCAGGATTTCGAGGGGTTCTGTTGGCCAGGCCCTTCGAACTATCCGGACTTCTGTGATCCGAGAATGAGACGAGAGTGGGCGAAGCTCTTCGACTTTTCCTCATATCCCGGCTACCCTGCAGAGATCTATACTTGGAACGACATGAACGAGCCAAGTGTCTTTGACGGCCCCGAGATCTCGCTTCCCAGGGACACCTTGCATAGGTGCCATGAGGATGATTATAGCATTGAGCATCGCGAAGTGCACAACCTTTATGGCTTCTACGTGCACGAGGCCAGCACGCAAGGCCATCTGCAGCCAGGCTTGCTCAAGAGGGCTTCTTCTAGGTGTCGTTCCCAGTACGCAATATATCTACAGCTCCCAAACCCAAATCCTTGCAGACCTTTGATTTTTGAAATCCGAGAGGCCCTGCGAGCCTTGTGAGCCCAAAGCTTGTTCCCCTCAACAGAAGCGAGCCTAAACCCTAAACCCTAAACCCTAACTCCCTAAACCCCTAAACCCCTAAACCCCTAAACCCCTAAACCCTAAACCCTAAACTACAAAACCCCCAAAACCCCCCAAAACCCGGAGCATCCGAGCCTCGTAGAAATCGAGGCAGAGGGCTCCAAACCTGCGCCCCTTCGTCCTGACCCGGCCACTGGGGCTCAAAAGGAAGGTTTAGGGTTTAGGGTTTAGGGTTTAGGGTTTAGGGTTTAGGGTACTTAGTTCCCCCAATACCCAACCTTTAAACTTTTTTTGGTTCTTATAACTTCGTAGTAACCTGGAAGTTTAACCTTGTATCTCCCTGGCTTATTGGGGAAGGAAGTTTAGGTTTTGAGGTTTAGGGTTTTAAGGGCTTTTGGGGCTTTCAGGGTTGTAAGGATTTAGGGTTTAGGGTCTAGGGGTTAGGGTTTTAAGAGTTTAGGGTTTAGGGTCTACCCGAAACCCTAAACATGGAGGGCTTTGGAATTTGGAGAGCTGTGAGCCTGCTTGCAGGTTTGTCGTCAGGCTTAAGCTGTAACGACTCCGCCTTCATTCATATGGGATGACCCCATGAGTATTGTCCTTCAAACTCAAAGTTGGGGGATCCTTTAGACTCGAAGTTGGGGATCCTTTAAACTCGAAGTCGGGGATCCTTCAGACAAAAATCCCCAAACTCTGAACCCCACACCCCACATTTACGAACGGCGCCGAGGTCTTTCTTCGCAGGTTCCCACCGGCACGGGCCAGCATGGACAGGCCGCCAACAAGAGCAGCCGAACAGCCGATAACGACCCGATTCAACTCCACCCAGCGACCCGAAACCCTAAACCCTAAACCCCGAAGCCCTAAGCCCCTGA